GAAAGTCAGAGACAATTTCTGCCAAATTTGGGCCAAGATAGGCTACCTTGACTGAAGAGGAGCATCTTTCCTTCAGTATCAAAGCCCCGAGTATAGGAAGCCACATGATAGCTCAACTCCCCTTGAGATAGTTGGCAACTCAAAGATGCCCTTAAAACAGCAACTCATTCTCAGGATTTAAAACTATGAACAGTCCTTTCTATAGGCGGTGGGAGTTCTCGTAATTGCTTTCTAGATCCTTTAGTAAGGACAGAAATCTGCAGCTGGGAAAAAGAACTGGGTTGTAGGGACTTGTTGGATGCTGTGATGTTTTTCCACGCAGGTCTAGCGAGCGGGGGCGGGGGGCGGGGAGAGGGTGGGAGAGCAAGCAGGGGAATGTTGGTGCTGTCGGGATGCAAGTAATGAGAACAGCTTGAGCAAATTTTCTGTTTTGCTTTGACTTTTTTTCTTGCTTGCTTGCTCTTGAACATCTGAAACTGTCGTGTGTGTGTGTCCTGTTCAATACTGAATTCCTATCTCTCACACTTTCAGGTGGGCATTCTAGAAACAACAGTGGAAGCTCTGAGTCCAGTCTTCCCAACATAGCCAGGTCTTTACTGCTGGTGGATCAGCTCATAGACCTGTAGCAGTGACACAGTAGCAGACGCAGTTTCTGTAACGTACCTAATCCTCCGTTTTCGTTTCCAGAAGAGTTACCTTCAGTTGTGGTTCTTTGGGGCTTCCCCCCCATCCCCCCCCTTTAATTAAAAGGAAAAACAAATCTGCCAACAGGAGACAGTCACCCACCTTTCTCCCTGTCTTCCCATGCCCTGGGAAAGATTCTGTCTCGGTTCTCCAGGTAGTCCTCTCTAAAGCTGGTGAAAACCCGTTGTGGTTCCTTCTGCACCTGTCTTTGCTAGCCCGTGTCTCAAGGGAGCACCGTCCTTAGCCGCCCTGCTGAGATGTACTCATAGCACCATGGAAAGCCTAACTGTAAATGAATTAGATAATCGTAGCTGATGTATGACCCCTGCGTACCACGGACTCCTTTCTCCTTAGAGTAGTGCGTGAACAACTGTGTTCCAATCTTTGCGTTTGTGTTTTTGGGTTTGGTTTTCGTTTCGTTCCTGTTTTCTGATGAATGGGCAGGAGGAAGGGGACGGGTGAAATCGGTAGGGATGTCCCTCTCCTGCAGTGTACAGGTTAGGGGAGCTGATGTTTCTAAATTGCCAGGATATGCTTCAGAGGAGGAGAAAGCACCGAGTTCCTCTGAAGTAGTCTTTGCCTAGTACCTCTGGTGATGGTGCGTATGAAGAGAGTTTTCCGGACTGCCCCCAGCTAATGGTTTGCTGTTTAACAATCCTGCTTGTGAATGAACTGCGCTTCCTCGGGGGAGGGGGGAAAAGAAAAAAGAAAAAAGGAAAAAAAAAAAGAAAAAAAGAAAAAAAAACCACCCCAGATTGTTAAAGCTGCAAAAATGACCCTAAGTGAAATATGACAAAGTTTTGAACCAAATACATGTGAGTATGGCTGTGACTAGCATTTTGTTGACCTTTTTTGGATGCAAAGGGCATTGTGGCAGCAGCAGATGTATTTTCTGTGACTTCTTTTCTGTGTTTGACTGGAAAAAAGAAAATCCCCCCCCAACCTACTGTAAATTGTGTATGAAACAAATTGTCCTACGGTTGTTTGTCTATTTTTAATCCTGGTTTTAGTCAAGCATCTGGTATCTGTTCTGAGTTCCCTGTTTTCTCTTGTAACTGCATATAGTGCAAACCAGTTCAGTATGGAACCATTTGTTTCAGTAGACAAAGGTTACTGTGGGCTTCATTCCACTCATCGGTCTTTGTGGAACAGGCACGCACTTGGTTCAGATGGGTTGAAGTAAGTGCTGCTACAACGTGATGGGTTTTACCTTTTCTTTTTCCCTTCCCGTGCTTAGTTTGTTAACTAGCTGGATACGCTACACTTGTTTTCATTGGCTTATGGTCATGAAGTCCGGAATTTCTATCTTGTATTTGAAAGCTCTTTCTGAACAGAAGGACTCTTCCTCTGTAGTGGAATAATTAATAGCTTACTGCTAACCTTGTGTATGTGTATGTAGCTGTATTAGTAAAAGTGCAGTTCCCCACGTGCGAAAGTATGAACGACTGAAATATGTATGTACTGACCTCTCGCTGAGAAGGAAAGACATCAAAGTTCGTGACTCCTCCTTTCCTATCTCCAGTCTCTCCGCTATTCCCCCACCCCAACACTTAGTTTAACAAATTCTGTAAATAGAACTACCGTCGATTGTGTCTGCTCTACATTACTCTTCTTTTAAAACCTACACTTAATAATAAAAGTATTGCTTAAGTGTGTTGTATCATTACATGTGTATACTGCACTTTCCAAGAGAAGCTTTACATGAGAACTATGGAAATGACCTTAGTAAAATTGTGGATAGAACTTTATTATTTTTTTGTTTTATATTCCTAAAGCACAGGCAAGCTGGACTGGAAAACATGAAGACGCTATAGATAGAAAGTTATTGTATAGTCAGATACTGAGATTATATGAAAAAAGAATGGATTTTAAAAAGTAACCATCTACTGTATATTAGAAACAAAGATTTCTGTGAATTAAAGTACTTTTAAAGAATGTTTAAGATTTTAAATCTAATGGCACTTGTTCAAGGGTTCTGGAAAAAATGATAAATGCACTGGGTTGTTAATAATGCTATTAAATAAGCAGATGTGAATGTTTATTTTATTGCTTTTTCAAGTAGCTATTTGTGGATCTGGGTGGGAAATGCGATACAATGGAAGCATACATTTTTAGAGATGCCCATTATCTAGACCTCCTTCATCAGAAAATACTTGCCACTTGTTTGCGGAATGAATGGGAAATGCGAGAGAGATGAAATGAGTGGATATTTGGGATTAATTTTAAGCTTTCAAAAAAAAATGTGACTGTCCTACAGGCATTAGGTTAGTGTCAAAAATGGAGGAGTTTGTGTGAAGCTGCTGCTGTGAAGGAACAAATTGAACTTTGATCCAGTGTCCGCATGGGGGATGTTTGGTACCCAAAGAGTGATTCTCTCTTATAGCGATGGTCGGAGCCTTGCTTGAAGCCATGGGAGATGTTTCTGTCCCTTTTAAGGGTCGTAGGCTTGGGTGCTGTTAAGTAAGAGAACACAAACCTACAGTCAGTGGAATGACAGCGGGGTGGTTCTCCTCTCTGCCCGGTACATGCCGTTTGGTCACGGTGGGACGGCAGAGGAGCCGTTCTGCCCCAACAGGCTGGAGCTTGCAGTAGCGTTCTTGGCATTGACTATTTTGATGGATCCTCCCGATAGGATACTACAAATGCAACCACAGTACACTCGGCAATTTCCTTTCAAGTCAAGTTTGTGCTTGATGCAAGAATAAACTCTGGTTTCGGGGTGGCGAGATGTTAAAAGGAATAGTGGGAACTTCGATGTTGGGGGGTTGGGTTTTGAGCTGCTTTTGGAAGTTTCCCCAGTTCATCTTTTAACCCCATGAGCACAAGTGTCGCACCCGCAATTCAGACAATATCCACTGTGTTGGGAGCATCTGTTCCAAAACCAGAAGGTGCAGCTTCCTGAATTCGGGCTGTCCTTGGGACTTGGCCAAGGATGAAGGACTTGGCCAGGGCTGCAGGCACTACGCAGCCTGCTGGAGAAGTCTCAAGAGATGGGTGGAAGAATCCTAGCAGGGATGGCTTCTGTGGCAGACCTTCTGCGTCCTCGCGCAGCCCGTTTACCACGAGCACGTGGCAGCTTGAGTGAATCTCTGTGTAGAGCACAATGATTTTTAGAGGGGGCTTCCTGTACATGGGTGATGGCATTCGTCAGCCTGAACGCTCGCAGGTTATTGCCTCCAGTGACTTTCCAAAATCACCTTATTTAAAAATTGATTAAAAATTAAAAAAAAAAAATCACAATGAAAGTTCAGCTGCGATTCAGAGCAAAGGCAGAGTTGAGCAGGTTTTGGGGTACCCAGGCAAACACGAAATGTGGAGCATGTGGGCTTCTGCCTACAGAAAATGTCGTTGAGCACAGAGCGTGCCCCTCTAGCGGCTGAAGCGTGTGTGCGGCTGTAGGAAGTTAATTTCTTTTTAGCCAATACGTTTTCTAGTTCAAGAACTCTCATGGGAATGGGTCAGAGTTGGGGAGTAGCTGACACGGATGTGGGGAGGCGTGAATTGAGGTGGGGGAGTGCTCTGATGAGTGAGGCTCATCGGGCAGCTCCGTACCAACGGAGAGGAGTTTCCCGTGAACTTCTCTTTGCTGAGGTGTGTGGGCGCTGCCTGGGAAAACTGCATCGCTCTGGTGGAAACAGACTTGTGGAGAGGAGAGGGGGAAGGTTTTCTTTGTATTTAGTTTCTGTTTCTGTAATTGAAAGCAGCTGTGCTCTGGGGACAGCCGTGCCTACACACAGGCTCCACGTGCAGCATCGCATCTCATTGTTTCTTGGGAGGAAGGGTGGGTTGCTTGGCTGGGGTTGTTTTAAGGACGTTGCTGATGTGTGACTTGTGCTCCTGCCCTCCGCAGGAGGGAGTTTAACCCCTGGAACCTCACTTCATGTTTTTCTTAGATAGTCACAGACTGCTTCTTAAAAACGACGTGCGCACGTAACCCCTGGCTCGTGCGCAGTACACGTGAGGGGAAAATCGAACGATGCTGTTGGTCTCCAGTTGGTCAGTCTTGTTCACAAGCTGCTGGAACGCGGTACGCGGCTGGTGCGTGTACCACCTCACTCACTGCGCTCGGTGCAAATGGCTGCACAAGCGTGCCAAAACCGGAACGTGAAATTCCTTATCTTCTGGCTCTGAAGAAGCCTGGATCTGCTCCCAGCTCTGCCACGGCGCGGTGACTTTGGGCAGAAACGCTTAATTCTGCTGTCCGGATTGTTGTTCAGTGGCATAGTGGTGGTGATGCCGACCTTTGGTGTTCTGCTTCGATACTCCTCCCTGGAAGCACGACGTGGGGGTAGTTCTGTGTTGGTGTTTAACGATATTGCTTCTAGGAATCGGAACACAAGGAAAAACTCCACCGTTTCAAGAATGAAGGAATAAGACGTCTGTTGACCCTTTTGAAATGCCAAACCAGTAATCTCACGTACTAGTAATTGTGCTGATTCTTAGCAACCGGTTATCACATGTTGAGACCTTCCTGACTTCGGCTTTGTGACATCAGGAGAGTTATTTGGCGGAGGAGCAGCTTTAGACTGGAGGAATGCCTCTGTCTCCACTGACGTTCTTGTTTTGGGCTCTGCTCCAGAAACGAGATCATCGTCTTGGTGACTGCTCTGCTTCCTCGCAGCCCCCTGTAATAGGGAGAGGAAACCTTTTACAGCTTTCCTGACAGTTATTTCAGTACTTTGCCACTTCAGCGCACTGTTTTCCTTAAAAGATGGGGGAACTCCATGTGTCAGTGCTGTACCTCGGAGGTAAACTGTCTCTTCTTCAGGTTCCCATCTGAACATGTGCAGGGTGCGTTCCTTGGGGTATCAAATGATAACGAGTTTTATTATGAAGGTTATTCCTGCAGAAAGGAAGTCTGAGTATAGTTTAGGAGTTGTTTCTTTAGTACGTATATCTCACCTGGGAATAAAAAAATTACGCAGATGATGCACGGGGGTAGGGAGAAACCTTATCTATGAACTAAAGCTTCTGTAAAGATTTTATGCTGTAAAGCTCGCAGCTGTTAGGAGGATGCGTGTGTTAAAACCTGAGCACGCGTAAGGGATGCTTCCCCGTGAAGTAACACAGCTCTCGGCAGTCTGGAGGAGGAGGAGGGGACAAAAGAGCAGCTGCCCCTTGACGGTGCCCATCTTGGCATGGGCAGATGTTAGGAAGTGCTGCCTCTGCGAAAGAGGCCCCTCTTTTTGCAGGAGGGGTTGCGGGTGCTCTGTGTGTTGATTCATGCAAACCATCTGCCTGAACCTTTCCAGGCCTTGTGCAGCGTCCCCTTGGCGTGACCGGGAGCCGAGCCATCACAGTCAAGGGGCAGGGCTTCAAACAAAACGGCACTGTCTTAGTTTCAGGAGGTTTGTCCTTTGCCCTCGTGCTGTCACCAGCTCGTGGAGTGACCCTTTCTCTCCTTTACCGTAAGGCAGAGCAGAGCTGCCGTGCCTTTTCATGTGAAACGGTCCCTCAAGCGCTTCATTCTCGCTGGTCTCAGACCTGCTGAAGCATCCATCGACGCTGGCGGACTTATTCTCTGTCATCCTAAAAGTGATGCAGCACGCGCCTCTGAAACGCTCGCCTGCAAAGCCTGTAGCAACGGCTGCTTACGGGAATGCACTGACCTCGTCTCGTTAGCTCTGACCTGACCTTCACACAAAGGGGGTTGGGCTTTTTTGGGTTGATTGCACATTTCAGTGTCTAAGCATAGCTCAGACCTTTTTTAACATACGAGATTAACAACTGTGAGAGATGTCTAAGCCCTTCTCTAGTTAGACATGCAGCCAGATGTTACTAAAGGAAAATGCTGCCGGGATGTCGTCGTCTTTGTGGTGCTGCTGCCATAGCTCCTCCGGGGACTGTCCCTTTGCTTTCTGCTAAAGGACCAAACTGAGGGAACCCAAGAACGTGGCAAAGAAAAGGTGCCTGAGATCAGTTACTGTGGGATGGTGTCTGAAGCCGGGTCTTCCTCCTTCAACACCAGAAAAATAGAACCTGGGAGTGTAGATGGTGCCCCTCTCTTGTCGGTAACCCACCCCCTGGGTCTCAGGTAACCCACTGCAGTTTAATATTGCTGTGCCCATTTTTGTTCTTTTCAAGCTATCGGGGCCATTCCCTGCTTGCCGTATTCCCTCGCAGCTCTGAGTGAACCCAGCTCTTAACTGAAGGCTGGAACGAGTTCCTACTGAAGCATCGCTTCCGTCTTTCCTCCCAGAGTCATTCACAACTCCCGTACGTCCCTTAGCGAGGGAGAAAACTGCTTCCAAGTGTATTTGGTGCCCTTCTCGCTTATGGTGGGCAGAGAGAGCAAGAAAGCATGGGGAAAAGTAATTTTTCTGAAAACAGAGCATTCTGCCTATCGCCCAGCGCCTCCAAGGTCAGAGAAGCGTGCCGCTCCTGTCCTAAGCGAGCGGGCTTATGTCCTGTCAGCCCTTCTCTTACTGTGTCCTAAACGTCATCGCTTGCATGAACATAGACGCCTACTAACGCAAGTAACTCTTTAAAAAGAAAATTCTGAGCAAATGACTTGTTTGCGCTGTTCTTGTGAAAAGTGGGTCGTTGGTTTGCGTTGGCATAATGTTCACTGTGATAAATGCCTTTTTCCTTTCCTTGTTCTCCTGTACGCTGTATTGCAGCGAGGATGGGGTAATTGAGGCATTTGTGTGATGTGGCAACCGGTCTTGCTCTGCTTCAGCCCGTATTCCCAAAATCTTACAATAATGCCTGGTAAATGTATAACCACCCTCCTGGAAGAAACCACCACTGTAGTCGTACCATTCCTGTAATCCGAGATTGGCATCTAAGGTAAACCATTGCTGACAGCGCAGGCTTTGGGAAAGAGAGAGAGTATTTTTGTAGAGCAACTTATAAAATGCTCACATATCTACACTGTCTTTGTTTAGCAGTGTAATGTATCTAAGCAAATAGTTTCCCAATAAATACCAATTTTGACGCCTAATGAATGACTGCTGTGTCTTTAATCGTGCCGGAGAGTGGGTTAACTCGCATATGTCTACAGACTCGACCAAGAAGCGGTGCCTTGCGCGCTGCACTGGGTCTGCAAACACGAATGATTAACCTGGGCAGAGTTTGGACGCGATGAGGCTATTTTGTCGCGGCGGGGTGGTTGGTTAATACCTCGCATGGCCGTCGCTCAGAGGATACCAAACCACCTCCTCACCCTCCTCGTTCTTCCTGCAATTCTTACTGCTTAGTTTTCACGTGCCTTTTTCCTATCCTCTTGCTAACATGAGTCCAATGACATACTCCTAAGCTGCCAGTAGTTCTTTGAAGGTAAGATATCTTCTGTTCTGTCTGTGTGAGTTGTAAGGCAAAACCAACCCTATCTTGGGCTCTTGTAACTGGAGAAGAGCAGAAGAGCAAGCCTCTCCCCGCAGTCTTGTTACACTAACGCAGAAGCAAGCCAGATTGTTATAATAATGTTAGAAACTTGATTTGAAGTCACGGTATGGAGCGTTTAAAATCATTTGTCTTGCAGTGGTTTAAAATAATGCTGCTGTAGTTACCAGGATTCATTAAAAGCTATAGGCCGGCCTTCATTTTTTGAAACGCGTATGTTATTTCAGCAGACTGTAGGGCATCCCTCTTTGTTTTCCATGCCCAAGTGTAGTCCCGCGTATCCGTGGGATGGCTGACAGAAATCGAGGCTTTGCCAAGCTGTCTGTCTGCTCGTAGGGCAGGCGATAAGCGACAGTGCGGAATGAAACGACAAAAGCTGTCGGTTTGCTGGAGCCTCACTCCAGGCAGCGGTGTCACGACGTGGAAGCCTCTCCCGTGGTGGTGGTCGTCGTGGGTGGCAGAGCAAAGCTTGTGGAATGGTGCCGAGAGAGTGCTGGGGGTGCCCATTTGTGTGTCAAACATCTTCCATCTCTTTTCTCCAAACTGGTACTCGTGGTGTCCCCGAGCTGTGAGGCAGTGCCGAGTTGTGTGTCAGTTTGTGTGTTGTGAATACCTCCCCGGGCATTTTTATTTCCTTTTATTTGCCCTCCCTCTCCTTCCCATTTTCCATGCGTGGTGGTGGTCTAAATCTGAACGGCATGATGTTTCTTGTGTAAGAAGTACCGTTCATTCTTATGACTGAGGAGATGGAGCTTGGTGAGTAACACTCTTCTCTTGCATTTTTAGGTCTGCAGAGGGATCCGGCCCTGTTCCCAGTTGTAGCTCTTGAACTCTCGAAAGGACCTTCTGGCAACGATGGACTTGCTTTGTACAAGGCTCAGCCTGAGATACTGAAAACACAGCACAACTCAGAGTCAGACTACTTAACGAGAGATGGTCCTTCAAGCAACAGCTCCTTCTACAGCAGTGAAGGAGAGGGGACAGACCACGAAGGAGATATTTTGGATTGCAGCGGGTCCAGGCCTTTACTGATGGACTCGGAAGAGGAGGAGGAAACCTGCAAGCTGTGCACGGGGTTCCTGCAGTCTGCGCCCAGGGAAAGACAGGAGGCCTCCAAAGAAGATCCCCACTCCCAGTCTTCCCAGAGTAGAGCAGGGGAGATGCTGTTCCCTGCCTTTCAGTCGCACACCGGGGAGGTTTTTAACGAACCGGATGTTTTTGCCACAGCTCCTTTCCGAAGCTCAAGAAAAGTGCCTGATGAGGTGGATGTCTTTACCAAAGCTCCTTTTATCTCCAAGGGCAATGTGTCTCACAGACATCCGGAAGAAGCAGATGTATTTCTGAGAGCCCCTTTCACTAAAAAGAAAAGTGTGGAAGAGTTGACTTCCCATAGTACGTCTAAGGAACCGTTCTCAGCACCCGTTTTCCTAAGTCAAGGAGGCGATGTCCAGCCCAGAGCTAACCCGATGTTCCCAAGTCTGGATTCGGCGATGCATCTGTCCACAGCCTCAGCGAGATCTCCGTATGCCTCTGCCGGGTTTACGCAGCCAAGCAATCTTCATCCCTCCTCCGTAAGAGCCGTGGAGACCCAGGAGAACATCCCTTCCAAAGGGGTGCTGCAAGAGCAGGCTGGCACTGCCAGTGAGAGAAACCAAGGAGGACACGCGCTGCCCCAGGAGGCGGCGCTGGGCTCCGCGGTGAACCAGCCTTTCCGTCCACAATCCTTGTCAAAATATTCCCGTCACTACAGTCCCGAAGATGGGCAGGGTCTCGAAGTCAAGCCCATAGCTGCTTACAAAGTGGTTTCTCAGACCAACAGACAGGCGATAGCAGGATCTGTCTCTGTTGCCCCTCTGTCTTCCAGGACTACAGAGCTGCCCGGCGGCGATCCGTTTGCTTCAGCGCCCTTCCCTTCCAAAGCGGGAAAGCAAAAGCCTTAATCTGCTGTGAGCTGGGAGGTGTGCTTCCCGCAGGACCGCCTCTCACAGGACCTCGAACCTCGTAGTTGAAATGAATGACATAGCAATATATATATAAAAAAAAAAAATAATTATTATTTTTTGGTCAGAACTCTATTTGCAGTGATATATAGTTGAACCATTTTAAGTTATGTTAGTTAGTTGGAACGCCTGGCTCTCAGGATCTTCATATCCTTTTCAGTTGCTTCTTATTTTCCTCCTCTCGCTGTCTCCCCTCTTTATTTTTTAGATGCTTTTCCAACCCAGTAATATTCCATATTTTCTGATCCTGGCTGGGGAAATGCATTATAAGATGAATTAAAAGGTTTATTAATTACAGAGCAAGTCAAGCGGGACTTGCTAATGCTCTGGAAAGGAAGGGATTCCACAGGTTAAAGGGTTATTGTGACTTCTTTCCTCTCAGCGGGGGCTTGGGGAAGAGAGCGAGGTTGTGTGTTCCCGCTGCTCGGCAGTGACGGCAAACCCGGCAGCGCTGGCTCCAGAGCGATTCTGACCTGCGCGTTCGTAGGTTGTGTGCGCGCGGAGCGAGAGCCGAGCAGGCGGCGTCTGGTACCAGGTTTGTGCAGCGCTGATGCGCGCAGAGCCGTGGCATCGCACGTGCAAGCGTTTCTGTGCTCGCTGTGGCACGTGACACGTGGATGTGCTTCTGCCCCGGGGCCGGTGCTGGAGCCGGGAGGAGTCGGTGGAAGGACTCAGTGCCTTCGGTCGCTTGTCTTGCAAACTCTCAGATGCGTGAAGTTCAGCGAAGCAGTCTGTCAGGCTGTTACTGTTGCTGTGGTTTGGCAAATGGAATAATCGGGCAAAGCTTTCAGTTTTACACGCGTATTTCCTGTCCGGTTTATGCCAAAGTGTAGGACCCAGAAATTTGCTTATGGTGTTGTGAAGGAGAGAGCCGTGCATTTTTACAGTATTAAAAATACGCCTTATGGAAAAAATTATTATGCAATCAACTCAATAGATGTCCTGATCTGCATACCTCATCTGCTGTGATTCAGCAGAGGCTGCAATCCGGTCGGACTGATTTCTGTTAGCGGAGAACTTGACTCTGTGTTGGTAATTTCTGCCTTTTGTTTTGCTGCTGATGAAGGATGAACCTAAACAAAATCCATTCACACTCCTTTGGTAACGCTTGCTCTACTTTGAAAATACTGTGCTTTCTACCCTATTCCCAAACAGAGAGATGACAGCTTGTTGCTTGTTCAGTCCGTGACGTAGTGAATCCCGATACAGCGTTCGGAGGAAGAATCGCTGGGGCTGGCAGCTGGGCACAAACAAAGCAGACTTTGCTCCCCTCTCTTTTCACTAACACAAGACAAAGATAAGAGTGAAGCCTCCCGTCGTGGTTGTGCAAAGTGCCTGGTTGTGTAAGTTGTCTTGGAGCTGCTATTTCTGGCCCGCAAAGGCTACTTGTCAGTATGGACTGGTTTTCAAAATACCCAGTTAGAGGGACTCCCAGTCGCTGGTGAATCTTTGCGGTGTGGTAATCCTTTCCTCCTAACAGGTGTCGGTGCTGCAGAATGTCTCCCAAGAAAAAAAAATTGGTGGTTTTATTTTTAAGAACTTAAAATTTATGGAAAAATATCCCCATTGACTCCAGTGACACTGGGCCAAGTCTCTAAAAGCCTCGCGGTGGCCATTTCCAGAGGGAGTTTGTTCCCTATCATGTCAGCTGGAGCCTTGCGCTGAGGGTAGAGGATATATTTTGCCTTTGGGTGTCTCCCGTGAGTGGCTTTGAAGTCTCTGGGCGTTTGCAGGGGAATAGTTGGAGCAATGGGTGGGTTGGTGAGATCAGAGCCGGTCGTATGCAGAGCAGGTTCCTGCCCTGCCCGCTTTCTGATGTGTGCTCAGGGAGAAAGTACTGCGGGTACTGCCACGCGAAGAGAGGGAAGGATCAGGCGTAGCTCCTCCTGACTCGCTGGAGTCACGCCCGGGAGAGCTTCTGCAGCTAAAAATAGAATTCAGTCTAGTTTTGGGGGAAAAAAACTGATGCCACCTCCAGTACATAGCTTTGTCCCCATGTCCAAATAATAAGCATTAAAGGAATGCAACAGGCATATTAAAGACGCAGGTGAAAGCTGGTTAAACAAAGCAGGACATCGCCCAGGCCGGGGCTGACTCGCTGCTGACTGTTAAGCCCAGCAGCATAAGGGGTGGATGGATGGAGAAACCCAGAGTGCTTGGAGCTGGCTAGCAAAGCATCCGCAAATAGGAGTTCCTGCCTGCTCCGTGTTTCCTTTCCCCTCCCTGAATTTAGTTCCCCTCCAAAATATCCCCAGTTGCCAGAGATGCGCCAGAAGTTCCACTGGACGTGCTCGGCGTGGGGATTGCCTGGAAGGGAGAGGGAGAAGCTTGGGCTGAGGTCTTAAAGCCCTGGGGAGGGGAGGGAGAATTCTTGGAAGCAGGGAGGCTGCGTTGGCTCGCACAGCCCAGTTGCTGGCAAATAGCGACTCGCCGAGCCCAGGTCAGGTGGAGTCGTGTGGAGCTGGGAACCTTCCGCCGTGCTCTGCTACGCTCGGAGTTAGGGAATACTGGTGCATACTGGCACTTTCGGGTTTTTTCTGTCCTCTGTCTCACCACCGTTTGAAATTAGAAGTACTGTAAAGAAATTTCTGGGTTTCCCTTGAGACGTTCCTTCAGCAAAGCTGAGGCTGTTGTTTATTGTGTTTTGTTGTTGTTGAGTTTTTTGTTTAAGTATATACCCAAAAGGCGGTTGTTGGTTTTGTTTTAAATCTGTACCCCCACCCCCAAGTCGGTGTTGTTGGATTGACTCGTTGAGAGATGCTGAGAATGACTGCGGTAGCAAACCGTGAATTCGAGGGATACCGCGGAGGCTGAGCGCGAGGGGAGGGCCCGGGTTTGTCTGGAGGCACAGCCTGTGCCCTGGAGGCTGGGGTTGGCCTCGAGCTGTTCACCTCGCTCGGGATGCTGCTGGAAGGCAGGTCGGGCCTTGGCGGCGCAGGGGTGGACCTGTGGTAACGGGGAGATGCTTTGCTGGAGCAAGCAGGTACCGCGTATAAACAAGATGTGGGTTGAAGGTGTTACCTCTGCTAACTGGATTCAGGTTCTCCTTCCTTTCCTTCATTTTTACTTGAAAAATTGGGGTTTTTTTTGATAATTCTGGGAAACTTCTTTCAATACCACGTCCAGGTCTCCCTTAGCTGATGCTGGAGAAGTATTAACCCATTCCCCTTCACGCTCGGAGCGGAGCCCATTGCCTCTTGCGTGCGCATTTGTGTGGGCGAGATGGAGATGAGTCCAGACCTTGCTGTCCTGCACTGCCAGCCAAGGGAGGAAGGGAAAATGCAGCGAGGTGTGCAGACTCGTTTACAGCCTTCGGTCAGGTCGGGTCAGGCTGAATTTCCAGCGAGCATTTTGGCAGCTTTTATGTTCTTCAAGCACTTTACACGAAGAGCAAGCTAACCGTGCCCCAGAAGCTATGATCCTGCCAGCATACATCCAGTGCTTAAATGGTTTTAAATCTCTTTTTGGGGGTGGAGGCGGCTTGTTTGTATCTCTGCATGTGACCGATAAAGTAACGGGACTTTTGGTTATGGTCAGAAAACTGAATTTCAATGCCTGTTAGTCTGATATCCTTCTCATTTCCAGCCTGTGTTCCTCCTAATCCTGTGCTGCCGGTACTGCAGCTTCAACGTGATGAATTGTAAGTGGAAATTTCATTTCCATAGTCTCTGAAGCTTACTGTTTTTAATGACTGTGGAAGAATAATGCTAATTGTTTTCTTTGCCACACAACCGGTGATCTTAATGAAATAAGACCAGTGTGGCCTCGATGCAGCGTTTTTGTTTTCTGAACAGAACCACTGGTTTCATCTTTTTTTAAAGCTGTAGTAAATTCTCTGAACTGCCCTGGGTCCTCACGCACGGCCAGCGGGCCGCAGTCATGGCTGCGGTGCTGCGACAATCTTAGATTCATGCTGGGAAAGGGACTGGTTCTCCATTGGCAACTTCAGCATGAATGCACTTAAGGTCTCTCTTCAAAGTGATTAATCAGAGTTTCTGCATGCAAGGAAAAGAAAAAACAAAAAACAAACAACAAACAAACCAGAAACAGCAGTTGGCTTGGCTGTCCGTGCCTCACTGCCGCGACGTTTGTACAGCGCACATAACGGGACCAGCCTACGTGGTGTTTAACCTGCACTTTCTGCAGCCTCCTGCAGTATTTTCGGGACTTTCTGGTATCTCCTCTCCCTTCAGCCAGCCCAGCACTAGTCATACGCGGTGTTAAGTTTACAATCTTAGTCTCTTGAAGCCAGCGCACACTCAATCTGTAATGCACACTATGCATGGAGCACGTAGGTGATACTAAGCTCGTAACAGCAAACCCCTGTAAGCAATCATGACACACAGCCCCTGAAGCGTGTCTTCGGTGGGACTTAATCAAGACTGAGCGAGATCTGTTTAATCACTGAATTCTCAATCACTCCAAAGTGGTAATCGGTTACCTTAACTCAGCTTCCACCAAAGACTCTTGTGTTGGGGAGTTGAATTTTTGTGCTTTTTTTTTCTCGTGGTGTTAAATCAAGGCCTTTCAGTACACCAAAAGACTCCAAAGCATTTTTACAGTAGTATCTTGACAGTGAAATCTTGTTCCAGTTCTGAAACACATTCCTGAAACCTGATCAGCTGTGTTCGTGTTTCTAAAAATAAGCCACGGCCTGTAGTTTCCGTTGTAGGTAGGGTAAATACTGTCACACACCCCTAGAAATACTCCCCTGTGAAGTTAGAGGGATAGTGGCAATCCACTGTTCCCTGATCCCTCCTCTCCAAAGGGAGAAATAATTGCTCACAGGGGTGGGGAGGGCAGGGTGCTTGTTCGGGGCCGGGAGCTCCCATGTAGGATGCGGCTGGGAGAGCATCACTGCCCGCCCAGTCCGGCAGGGACAGAAACTCCCTTGTTTCTGCGTGGAGCGGGAAGCTGGAGCTGGAGGCATCCCTGGTCTCCGCTAACTGTGACAAACAATCTGTGACTCATGTCCTAAAAGCAGTGTTTTCGTTTGCACCGCGCTGTTATTAAGGTAATTTGTAGCGGTCTTGGAAGTACCTCTGACTTGCAGATCTGATGGAGTCAAGTTTTGCACTCCGGGTGTGATCATCTGTGTTTCTGGTAATCATTATGAAGAAACGTTTGAGTTGTAAACTTATGTACATTTTATTAAAACTGTATCTGATTACAATACATGTGCTCCACTGTGCATTCCTTCTCCCCTCCCCTTGCAAAATACTTCTGCTGGATACAAGGAATCTGTTTTTTTCCTAAGTTCTTCCTACCAAGGTACTGAACTGGCTCTGTCCCTACTGTTTTATCTGGCAGTTGTAAAGTCAAACAGATTTTATTGCTTTAAGCAGAGGCTTTAAGCAGTAGATATTCCAGTTTACTGGAGAGGAACCTTCATGCCTGGGGCAGTGCTACAAGGCAGCGCGGAGCTATTGAGCCCCCCCTGCAAACCCAGGAGCTGCTGCTGCCAGAGAGGAGGTGCAGAACGAACCCATCCCCAGAGAGGATCAGCTGTACGTGAGTGAAAACAGTCCGTGACCGCCCACTGCCGTGCCAAGCTGCGCACGTGTTAGGGGGGGACACACAGGGGTGGCCATGAATAGGTTTTGGCAAAGCCTGGGGAAAACGTGCTTTCTGTGAGCGCAGCTGCCTGCCAAGGAACAGCGAATCCAGCGAGGAAGGAATGAAAGTTTGCTTAAAGAACTTGGAGTTTTAGGTTGTGTGAGTTAACTGTAAGAGAATAATTGCCTGGGCAATCCTATATGCAACTCCAGGCTGGGTGGAGAAAGGCTGGAGAGCAGCCCTGAGGAGAAGGACCTGGGGGTGCTGGTGGGTGAGAAGCTCCCCATGAGCCGGCAATGTGCGATCGCAGCCCAGAAAGCCCCCGGCACCCCGGGCTGCATCCCCAGCAG